TGAGATGAGGCAATTGGTTGTCACTGCAGAGAAAGTTGGCCAAAGCACTTAATCAAATAGAAATTGCCTGTCTCCCACCCGGAGTTTCTTATCCTTTCTCTCTGATTTGTTTTTCTTCAGAGTCTATGATAATGTACATACTAGACTATATAAAATCTGTCTTTTTCAAGTTACTGGTTTGTTTATTACTTGGCTTGATCTTCCAAAATTTGCATACAATGAGGGCTAGGAATGTTGTCCACTGCCCATGGCAATATTCTCAGTGGCTGAAGCAGTTAGAACAATGTCTACAATGCATTGTTCCCTTGACAAATACTTGTTGAATGGATGAATGAATAAATGCTAATGCAAGAGACAGTCCGGGGAATTAATGATGTCGAAGAGTATCTATCCTCAGAAAGAATGCTGACTGTGCTGACAGTTGGGACTGATACATCTGGAGCCTCAAACGCAATTCCAGGAGGTTTCCTCCTCACTGGATGAAATGCTCCATTCCTCTATATGCTTCAGGTTCTTCATGTTAAACCCAGGTAACTTTGCATCGATGGTCTCAACATCATAAACGTTTACATTTAGGAGTGTGGAGGGTGAGCAACACCCTGCCTGTGTAGTTGTCTTCCAGGGCTTTGTAGCAAAGCATCACACTGGGTAGCTTAGAATACAGATATTTCTCATCTTACATTTCTGGAGTCTAGAAGCTAAAAAGCCAGATGTCAGTAGGCTTTGCTCCTTGAGGAGTGCCAGAAGGAATTTCTGTTCCAAGTCTGTGTTGAAGCTTCTGGTGGTTGCTAGCAATCTTGATGTTCCTTGGCTTGTAGATGCATCACTCTGAACTCTATCTTGCCATTACCATAGGTCATGTCTCTCAGTCTGTGCTTCTTTTTCTGTTCTTATAAGGACATGGTTCATATGGGATTAGGTTCCATCCAATACTCTTATCTTGTCCTAATTACATCTGTGAAGACATAGTTACTTCCAAACAAAGTACTGGGAATCAGAGTTCAGTTATTTCTTTGGGGGGAGAAAACCCGATCAACCAACAGTGGACTCATAAATTCCAGAGCCTGAATGTCATTCCTGAGACAGAAGGAAAGAAGCAGGTGTGTAGATACTAAGGTAAACCTAACTCAAGCCCTGTGTAGTTGGTGCTTTGGAAAGTAGACAGAAAAGTTATCTAATGACATGGGGTGGCTTTAGGGGGAGTCTGGAAGGATTTTGAAAGGAGGAGTCACAGAGCTAGGTAGTACAGGATGAGAAGGGATTAACTAGTGGCAGAAGTGGAGTTGGGTAAAGAGGTATTATAGGTATCAGGTGCTCCTTGAGTCTTGTGCATGCTGAGAAGAGCCAAGTCCCAACCTGGTGCAGAAAGTGGGCACTGTGGTGGGGCCAAGCAGAGGCTCCAAGAGCTGAGAATCTGGACAGGACTTCCTGAGGAGACAAGGTCTATGCTAACTGGAAATCAGCTGGGTGTCTAATGGAGGAAAGGACACTCCTAGCAGAGGAAGGAACAAGAGGTAAGATAGTGATACAAGAACATGGCTTATGGGAGAGCTAGAAAGGTTTTGTTATAAACGTAGCAGACGAATTGGCTCAGGACCTGGGATGGATGGACAGTGGGGCTGCTTTGAGAGCCAAGTTTCAGGGCTTGGCCATTATGGGACAGGAAAAGTAAGGTATCGATCCCTTTTGAAATTGTGGGGTGTTGTGTTTTGTATCTAGCTGTTCCCCTAAAGCCTCAGGCATTTATAGGTGGGACATTGGGAGGTGGCTAGATCATGGGTGTGTGATACTGGATTAGTCCACTAATAAGTTTATAGCTGGGTATAATCTTGGGAGGTGAAGTCTGATGGGAAGAGGAGGATCACTGTGGGCATGGCCTGGAAGGGTCTATGTCTCTCTTCCTTCCTTCTGCTTTCTGCTTCTTACCTTCCATCAATAAATGGTTTCTCCTCTGCCATGCTGCCCTGCCTTGGAATCAGCTGACTATGGAGTGAAACCTCTACAAACTGTGAACCATAATAAACCTCTCTTCCTTTAAGTTGTGGATGTTGGGTATTGTGTCTCAGCAATGAGAAAGCAACTACAATATGGGGTAACAGGCAATATACTGGATTTACATAGTAAATAGACCAAACCAGCTGTTTTGTGCAAACTGGAGTGGAAGTTCTGCCCAGAGCCAAGAACATTTGGGAGGCCATAATTGAGACAAGAGAGGATGAGCCCCTGACCCAGAACTCTGGGGTAGATATGGATAGACTAGACACTGGAGATATTCAAGTGGGCTGAGCATCAGTGAGCCAAAGACCAATGGTACCAGAGATTCAGAAAGAAGACAGAGCTAGTGAGAGGAGCTGGGGTCCCAGCTAGCTGAATGGGTCCTTGTGGGAGTTCCACATGAGATTTACAAGTAGTGGTCTCTTCATCACCTTACCAGTTGTGGTCTCTTCATTTCAGGACTGTGACTGGAGACTGGAGAGGCATTGTCTTTGACAATGATGCTCAACCAGTGGCAATTCTGCCCTTAGAAGACATGTGGAGATGTCTGCAGATATTTGGATCATCATGGTTAGCAGTGCACCACTAGTATCAAGAAAGCAGAGGTCAAGAATGTGGCCCACCTTCCTACAATATGCAAGGCAGTCATCAAAGACAGATTCCTCTGTTCCAGTGGCAATGGTGCTAGAGCCAGAGACATGGGCATCATGGTCAGCCCTGAAGGATGAGATGGTAAGGCAAAGGCCGAGGAAGAGCAGGGATGGGGACTCTAGTCTCTGCTAGGCAGCCAAGTACAAAAGAGCCAGAGAACAGGGGTGTTGGGAATGTGGTGGAATAGGGGCTTGGAGATTGGGAAGGGTCTGAGGCACTTTCAGATGGAAGTGATGGTCAGGTGGCAGAGAGCCATTGAAATATGCTGAGTGATTTTGGAGCAAAAGCTACATGGTACAGCATTAGGCTATTATTCTATATTACCTAATACTCATTATTAGTATATTGTGATTACTAAATAGATTTCTTGAAAAGCAACCAGTTCTGTTTCTGTGTTTACAATGTTCTTACCCAGTCTCCTCCAGACACCAGTCCTGGGCACACACTTCAGGACAAAAGAGGAGGGGAAGCAGAGGAGCAGAGAGAGCCTCTGGATGTAGCTTGCCTCAAGGACACCAGGATCTAACTAGCAGAGAACAGATCGTGGGCATGAGGTGGGCTGGGCTGCAGGGTTGGACTGGAATCGATGCAGCCTCTATGCAGAGCCCATTGCATTGCACATATCGCTAGAAACTTCAATTAGATAGGAGAGCAGTGGAGTCATCTGTGGATGGAGCCTGCTTAGCATTCCAGGCAGGGCTTCCAGCGAGCTTGCTGGCAACAGCACAAACAAATGACCATTTGGAAGAGATGAGGGCTCCCATCTCAGGATGGAAGAAGGCCTTCTCAAGGAACAGGAGATAGGATGATTAAGAAAACAGCATCCCCCTCCACTCCCAGGAGGAGACCTACTGCAAGTTACAGCTAGGAAATAGCATAGCTGTTCTTCACACTTCGGTTTAAACCGTTGATTATGTCCTTCTCAGTATTGCTCCTAGGTCACTTGGTCTTTATTCCACTCTGGTGCAAATGGGCTTGGAAGTCCCTGTCCCACCCACCGTCCCCAACCTCAGGGCTCCCCTTGTTCCCATCTCCTCCAGGCAGCTTTCCTGAGGGGCTCCAGTGTCCACTCTTTTTATTTTCTGGAAGCTTATGAAATATGGACTGCGGAACACAGCATGTATTTTCAAGGGTTTTTTAAAATCTGGATATTAGTTCCCTGATTCTATTATAAGCCAGTGGGATTTGGTGGCAGGAAGAACAATTATTTTCAAGGCTCCTGCCATTTCAGCCACCTAACACCTCTCAGGGATTTAATCACTGCTTGGACTTGGTCTAATCACTTGCACTAAAACGAGCTGTCACCTCCAACACACTCTGTGCAGGCAGGGACAGTTATATAACTTGTCCAAAGGCACAAAACTCAGACAGACAAAACCAGACTATGAACGTGAGCCTATATATGCAGGCCCCGTTCATGACCCTGCCCATGTTGGGGGAGGGCAGTGTGCCATGACCCGGTATCACTGCATAACCGGGACTACTTCTTGTATAGCTTCCAGTTTGCATCAGGCATGCCAGCTGTCCATACCCCAGGCATGCTTCTGGAATAATGGGCTTTGCTCATAACTGCATGTAGGGCTAGTTAAAAGGTTGCCTAGGGAACTTCAGAGCTCCTGTGTGAACTTGCATTAGGAAAGTCACAAGGCCTTTGGCCTTCAAGGTAGGGCCACTCTAGGCCCCATGGTGGCTGAGATATTCTAAATGCAGTGTGTGGAGAGGGAGAATAAGGCTTGGGCATGTGAGCCCAGTGGCCCACAGTGTCCCTGAGAGGGACAGAGCTGGGATGGAACAGAAAAATCCAGAACCTTATGGCACACTGTTCTTCCATTCTGATGGGAGGAGTCTGAGAAGTCTGGGAATTCTCAGTTCAAACTGGGCCTGGGAGGTGTTTCTGACTTCCTGTTTTCCATTGGAGGAGAATAGAAAGCATGTTATGGAGGACTAGACCTGTAGCTTGCAAATAACTACATAGTTACCTTCATTTGAAGCCTTTCCTTGGGTCTTGCGCTTTTCTAGGTGAGATCTGGGAAGGAAATGAAGTTGGACCTGTAGGGAGCTATGGTGAACAGTGACCATCTAGGCATGCGAGTGAGGGAGGAGCTCCCTCTGAGCAGAACCTGGAGAAAGGATCTGGAAGAAGAGAGAGGGAGCCACAGAGGGAGCTACAGAACACAGACACCCAGCAGAGCAACAATGGGGCAGAGAAGAGGGAGGACTGCTTGGCAGGTTGGCAAGGGAAAAAAAATGTCATGAGAGTGGCTGGGCTGGGGAGCAAAGAAGAGGGTGGCAGAATATATGACAAAAGATGCAGGTATTCGATTTTGCATTGTATTTCCAGTGAGGAAGTCCCTGGAGTGATTTTTACCACCGAGTTTTATGGATGTCATTCAACAAAGGCGAGGTGAGCAGGGTGAAAGCATAAGCCAGCACAACCCAAAACTAATTAAAGAATCACAAAGGCCTTCGGAAATCATCTGGGCAGGTCAGTTTGTCAATGCTTAGAATAGAAATGATTCCAACCCATGTTATGAGTTTAATTACTTGGATCACATTTGATAAATTCGGGGCCAGATATTTGGAGTGAGACGCTTTCTGGATTTCAGGATGCTGCTGGCTGTGCATGCACGTCCCCTGGGGCTGACCACTCTCTTCACCGGAATACAGGCAAGTGAAGCAGGGCAGTGTGCCCGGTGGAGGATTTGCCTCATCAACATGCTCTCCGAGCCCCACACTGCAGAGAAGAGCAGAAAGCAACGTTAGCAGGTGGGTATACTCGCCATCCAGTTCTATTAAACCCTGGCTTCTCTCCGTACTTGCTATGGGGGATTTTTAATAACACGTTATGGATATGCTGTAGTTGAAGCTCGCTCTGTGACAATGGTAACAGCAGACAGCTACAAATCACTTGTGGTGTGGTAGGGACCCTTCACACACATCGATTGGCTCATTCAGTTCCCACAGAAATCCTGCTAAGCAGCAGTAATCGTATCTTCATTTCATAAAGGGAGAAATCTGGGTGCACAGAAATTGCACAATTGCCAAGGTCCTTCTTGATGGGGGGAAAGCTGATATATGAAACAGATTCCGAGTTCTTAGCTACTATGCTCCACTTACTTTATATTTTTGTTCTTTTCCCTTCAATCTTTTTTTAAATGAGTGCATATTGATTATACAGCGTCTATGCATTTCATTTTGGCGGATTCATATAATCACAGCACAGTGCATTTTGATAATCCCTCCCCTCCCATCAATTCCTTTGTCCCGCCCTCCCCTCAAGTTGCTTACTCTTTTTTGAATGCGTATAATGTATTTTGATCATACCCGTCCACCCATTACCACCTTTACCCTCCTCCTCTTTTCTACTCCCGTCATCTCTGATAATAGTCTCCTTTCTAATTTCTTGTCACTTCCTTTATACGTACGGCAGATACCTACATCTTTCTCAACTTTATAAAGCTGCTATCACAATGTACTTGTCTTAATGCAAATTGCTCCTTCTACTTTGTGAGATTTACCCATGTTAATTCATTTGTAAGCACTGTACAGTATTCCAGTGTTGAATGTTTTCAAATTTATTGTTAATTCTTCTGTTGATAGATATTTGCATAGTTTCTACTTTTTCTCACTTACAGGTAGAATAAAGAACATTTATGAACATATTTCTTCATAAACATTATGTTCTTCTGATAAGTGTTTCCCAAATGTGGCTGTAAAATAGAGAATTTAAAAGCTTACATACATGCAGGTCCTCCCTGACATTTGATGTTTAGTGTTTGGTCTGTTTTTATTTGTTTTTTAGCTTGCCAAGCAATATTTATGCACATCAAGCTTTTACAACCACCAGCTTTAGCCTCAGACATCCACCTAGAATCACAAGATCTTCAAATTTTGCACATATAATCAAATTGCTTCCCAAACTAGTTTTTCTTATATAGACTCACATCAGTAATATATAAGGAAGGGTTCACAGTCATTGCCTTCCTTAATTTTTTGATTGACTGCTGGAAAATTATCAGTTTTATTATTGTTTTCAAAGAACAGACTTCTAAATTTGATTTTCTGTGCTCTACAGCTTTTCCTGTTTGATAGATTTTAGTTCTCTATTATTTTATTTCCTTCTCTATACTTCTTATTAATTCATTTTTCTGTTTCTAGTTTCTTGAGAAGAATTAGATGAATAACATCTCATCCTTTCTCCATTTCTAACATATTTCTCCAGGCAATGTTTTTCTCTAGGGTCTGCTTTAGTTGCAATGTAATAGCTTTGCTATGTAAAACCTTGTATCTTTAATGTTCAGTTCAAAAGGTTTCTATTTTTGCAATTTTTAACTTGACTCAAGTTATGTAAAAGTATATTGTTTTCATAAGTTTTTTAATCTATTATGTTAAAATTTCTTTCTTTCTTTTTTTTTTTTTTTTTTTTTTTTTTTTTTTTTTTTTTTTTTTTTTTTTTTTTTTTTTTTTTTTTTTTTTTTTTTTTTTTTTTTTTTTTTTTTTTTTTTTTTTTTTTTTTTTTTTTTTTTTTTTTTTTTTTTTTTTTTTTTTTTTTTTTTTTTTTTTTTTTTTTTTTTTTTTTGGTACTAGAGATTTAACTCTGGTCCTTGTGCTTGCAAGGCAGGCAGAGAAACCACTGAGCCAAATCCCCAGCCCTAAAATATCTTTCTGATATGTATTTCTAACTTAATTTTTTCTATAACTATACAGTGTAATCTGATTAGTTCCAATCCTTTGAAGTTTGTTAAGGTTATGTCTCAATCCATTATACAAAGAGTTGGGTGCCCTGTTTACTATGTATCAAATATCCATTTCATTGTTTTGATATTTCCTTAATCTCTATGAAATTTTTCCTTTCTTGACCTATCAGCTATTGTGAAAATTGTGACAAAATCTCCAATGTCACATCATGCTGTCCAGGTCTTAGTGTTTACACATAAACATTCAGAATTGTTATTTCCTCCTGGTGATTTGGCTCCTTTGCATTAAGAAAATGTTTTTTGTCTTTAGTAATGTTCTTGCTTTAAAGTCTACCTTATCTGATATTAGTATAGCTGGGTTCATTTCCCTTTGGTTGATATTTACATGATATTTTGTACTTGGTTTACTTGTGTATTCTTTTAATTAAAATATGACCCTATAAGTAAAAATATTGTCAGATTTGCTTTTATATGTATTCTTGTGAGTTCAGGATTTTAATTGAAATGCTTAGCCCATTTAAATTAAAATAATACTCCTATATTTAAGTTTTTATTTGCTTCTTTACTAGTTGCTTTTTATTTGACCCATCTATTTATCATATGTTCCAATTTTCATTTGTTTGCCTTCTTTTGGATCACAAACTATTGGTCTTTTTATAAAATTGTTAGTTATATACCTGCTATTATTTTCCTAGTGATCACCTAATGAATAGAATGTGGATACCTGATCCACTGTAGTCTAAAATGGCAGAAAATATACAGGTAATAATTGGAAATCATATCTTTCATGGTCCTAGCATTACTAAGGAATATTTTTATCATGTTTGTAGTAAGGCAAAGTTGCATAGGATCCTGAAAGGGAACTAATTCCATTCATTAATTCTACATCTAGCACAAATAACTTAAAGAATGAAGGCAAACTAAAAATATGTTATGAGGGAGAAAGGGAGAGAGAGAAACATCAGCATATCTGCCAAAATAACAAAGGATGTTCCTCAGGCAAAAGAAAATAATCCTATAGAAAAATGTAGAAATGTGGGATAGAGTGAGGAGTCAAAGCTTTGTGTAAATAAATATATGAGATTTATGTGAATGGTAATGCTCAACAAAGGAGAGAGTAAAAAGAACAAGAGAATTTGACATGGCTAAGACTGTGGGGGACCAAAAGAAAAATAAGTAGCACTGTGGGCTACTTATTTTTTCCTTTCTGAAGAGATGGGAGTCTTGGCTGGGGAGGTTATACTGATGCAGATGTTTTGTCAAAATTCACTATACTGTGCACTTGTAATGCGATGCATTTTATTTAATGTAAATTATTTCTTAATAAAATTGATTGAAAAAGCAAAACAAAGGAGCCAAACAATGCTGTTGGCATTTGTACTGGAATGGCAACAAATGTATGATTAACCTATGGGGAGAATTGCACTATTTCCAATGGAGTCAGTCTAATGAAGGTGTACAGATGACTCACTATATATGTCCTAGGTCATTGAGCACATATGTGTGAATGTATGTACTCCATTTATATAGGCTTTCCTTCAGATTTTTTTATTTTAGTTTTTCTCATATTCTTTGTGTTGAACTTGCATATAAATTGTTTCGATTTGTTCTTAGTTTACCACAGTTTTGTTGCTATGAGTGATTGAAATCTTCTTAAAATGCACACGCTAATTGGTCATGATAGATGTTATAGATGCTATTGATTACTGAATGAATTTCTCTTTGAAGTATCTGCTACTCTGAGCTTCATTCTCCACAGAGGTAAAATACGGGAGTTGAATTGTTGCAACTGTGAGGCCCTTCCAGCAATATGACTCTATTTTTCCCCTCTTCTTTGGGCCTGCAAAAACCTTCAAGAATGTCAAGGACACTTTAAAAATTACATCATCAGAAGATCTTTCTATTTTGGTTTAAAGCATGGCCAGTCCAGTCTGGGTCACATTGGGGCAATTTCCTCTGCAATTCATTCCTATTGTCTGGGAAAGCATTATCTGCAAAGACTTTGTTTAAAAAAAAACACATTTTATTTTTCTCTCAGAAAATGCAAAATGTAGTGCTGTACAATATGTATAGCATATAGAAATGTGTAATAGGTAAAGCAAAATCCGTCTCAAAGAGCAAACCACTCTAAACAATTTAACATCCATTTCACCCCAATGTTTGGGTGCTTAGAAAATTTATACTTATCTCTACAGTAAATAAGCATGCATCTGTTGATTCCCTGTCCAGAGAAGCAGATTGTCATCTTATTTCACAATACAGAGTGTCTGATTATTGCCCTTGCTCAAGACTTCCAATGCCTTCCCATAAATTTAGGAAGAAGACCTAACATCCGGTAGCTCTCGGCCTCCCTTACCTCTGGCTCATGCTGTGGCCTCACTGGAACTCTCAGTTTTGTGAAGGCTCCATGATCCAACCCAACATGGTTTCTGTGCTTGCAGTTTGTCTCCTGTAAAGGCCTTCCTCTTGCACTCACACTCATGGATACTCATGCCAAGCCTTCAGATAGCAGCTGAAGTACCTTGTCTCCGGGTTGTGGCCTGGCCTTTCTTTCTGAGCACAAGTGCCCTCTGACTTTTGAACTCTGCTGGGTCCTGCCATCCTCCTTCCTTGTTCACATCAACATCAACCTGGATCCCATCCATGCGCTGACCCATTTGTTGCACATGCCCTGCTGCAGTCCTGAATATCACTACCTTCTGGGATCCCATGGCTTTGGCTTTTTCTGAACTAGGATGCGCTGTCTTTAGTATCTGACTTACGTGTCACCAGGTATCTTGATGGTGTATGAAGTCTCTGTAGAAGCCTTGTATGACTCATGAGAATAAAGCCAGTTCTGCTTTGGCCTCAAATCTATTTCTCAGGCAGTAGCATCTAATACATTGTAGACAATAGTTTTGTATTATGGATTTAATTGTTATTCTCTCTCATCAGCCAGAGCTGACACCCTCATAGATAAATGCAGGGTTTGGCTCAGCCCTAGGGGCTTTAGTGAATTCATCAGAGACTCCAGTAACATGACCCATCATCCATAGCCAGGTGGTCCCTGGCTCTGGTCTTGGGGATACA